CTCCGCTGGCTCTGTGAGGAAACTGAGTAGTGCTCTGCAGGGCAGCTTACAATGCCAGTGAGAAATTCCAGATTAGGGAATCAACCTGAGCCTGACAGGCCAGGCAGCATTTGTGTCTTTTTTGTGTGTATGGAATAGGGGACTGAACCCAAGGCCGTTGCACTGAGCTATATCCCCAGACCACCCCCTCTTTTTTTTCAATTTTGAGATAGGGTCTCACTGAGTTACTAAGTTGCCCAGGCTGGGTTGAACTTCTCAGCCTCCCAGAGTGCTGGGATTATAGGCATGACCATATCAAGTCTTGGTTTACAACCATGCAGGCCGTAACTCAAGACTTTGGACATAAATTAAAACTAAAATTCCAATCATGATCCAAATTGTTCATATGTGAGGCTGGCCATAACTCAAGGGCCCACTATATTCTACAGTCAGCTCACAGCAAAACCAAAACAAGAACTGCAGGTTCTTGTTCAAAAGGTAAACTTAAATAAAATTCCTAGGAGATCTATAGGTAAAATTGTCGATGACAATCAACAATTTTGTTGTTACTGTTGTGTGGGCTGTACATGGAACACTGTTAGGTGGTGTTGTCAAAGATAAAACACAGGCCGAGTATTTAGCTCAGTGGTGCCGCCCCCTGCTTCACAAGCACAAGGTCCTGAGTTCAATCCCAGGTACCAAAAAGATAAAACACAGATATGCCAGGTTGAGAAATTCTGGGCCAATGTCTTCTCAGGACAATGAGATCTTCCTGGAAGAAGGTGTGGCCTAAAATTATACAAGAGAGAGACTTTGAAGGCTGTGTAGAGGAGCCTGAGCCTTCAATTGACCCTGCGGTTGATGACACTGTCACTATAGAAGCGTTCATGGACTAGCAGGTAGATAGTGGTGACGTTGAGGAACTGGTGGAGGAACACTGAGAGGAACTGTCTACAGAGGAACTTCAGCAACTTCTAGCTGAGCAACAGAGAATGGCAGCTGAGGAGCTTTCTGAAGAGGAGGGGGAGTATCAACAATCAGTGCAGCAAAGCTCTTCTTTTGAAATAAAGGAAATCCTGAAAAAATGGACAGAGCTACAAACACTTGTAGAGAAGACCCACCCAGAGAGAGAAAAAGCCAATCATTGCATTCACTTGCTTAATGACAATGTCATGTCATACTACAGAAGTGTTAAAGAAAAGACAGAAATAGACAACCTTAGGCCAGTTCTGATTTCTGGAAAGGTTGAGACCTAGTGATCCAGAAGCAGGTCCTAGTGGGCTACAGACTCTTCCAAGGAGAGAGAGGACACCAGAGAGCCAGATTCCTGATGTTCGTATGGAAGGGGACTCTCCTTCCAAACAATAAACCACTTTCCACTTCATTGTCCCTTCCTGCAAGCCAAAGATGTCAACATGAATGGTGAGTACAGTACGAAACTGTTGTTTCTGGTAAACTAGGCACATTTTATCACTGTTTGGTGAATACACTACGAAAATTATTGGTGTTTCTGATAAATTATGAACATTATACCATAGACATATATTTTCATTATAAAAAGCTTAGTTAAGGGGTGGCTTTGGGAGGTTCAGAATGCATTATGGGTATTTCCATTATTTCTTATGGGAAAAAGACTTGACTTACAACCAACCTGAGTTACAAGCAGCCCTCACAAATGAACTGTATCTCAGATTCTCAGGAGGACTATTATATACTCAGATTCAATAGGTACTTTTGTTGGGAGTGGTGGTGCAAAGCTGTGATCCCAGCACTCAGGAGGCTGAGGCAGGGGGATCACCATGAGTTCAAGGCCAGCCTGAGTTACATAGTGAGTTCAAGGGCAGCCTAAGCTGCATAGTTAGTTCAAGGCCAGCCTGCACTACACAGTGAAACCCTGTCTCAAAAAAAAAAAAAGTACTTCTATGTACTCTTTATCAACAATGTCAACTCTATTCAGCTCAAATCAAAGAATAGGTTTAACAACTATTCACAACAAAATAGATAAAAAACATAGATAATTCATTCTAAAAACTAGGTCAACTATCACCTATATACACTTTTTTTTCCTTAGGGTTTTTTGGGACAGGGTCTTGCTATGTAGTTGAGTAAACTCACTATGTAGCCCAGGACAGCCTCAAACTCTTGGTTATCTCCTGCTTCAGCCTCCTGAATGCTAGGATTACAGATGTGTGCCATCACACTTGGCTTTGATCCAATTTACACTAGTAGTTGTCATCTCTGCTAAAACACAACTATAACTGACCAGTCCTGGACCTGACCTCAGGTGCCATTTAATGTTAGGTGCCGCAGGGCTTTCCTTGGACGATCATACATTCTAAACTGCACCTGGAGAATAATTCCTTTTTTCCTTCTTGAATGACGGGGTATTTCCAGAGCAACTCATTAGAGTATGTGTGCATGGGTAGCCATTTTTTATTTTAAGGATTAATACAAGGTTATCAAGGCCACCCCTAAGCAAGAACATGAGGATGACCTGACTGATGTGGCGGGCAGGGCTAAGAGCTGTCCTCCCTTGCTGTGGGTCCTTTCTAGGGCTACTGAAATCCACTGAAGCCAACAAGCTGATACCTTCCCAGAGCAGCTCTCATGTTCTGAGGACAGAGCCTAGGCTTTGGGGTCACAGTCTAACTGCCCTGCTGGCTCAAATGCCAACTCGGATGTGGATACGTGGAGTGCAAACTCAGGCAATGAATATGCCACCACAGAGGGTTATCTGTGACCATTCAAGTAAGACATGAGAATATAGGAATCCTCTGGCACATAACTACTATTTATTGTTTGCTAGATCTAATACTACCACTATCCATACTAATAAAAGAACAGTTGGTTATAAAATTAACACAGCTCTGAGTTCTTACAATTTCTACAGGAATAAATGCTCTCTCTCTCTCTTTTTTTTTTTAAATAAATGCTCTCTTAATACAACTCTATTAACATTTGCTTTGTAGTCTAAGTACGTAATTGGGCCGGGGATTTAGCTCAGTGGTTCCGCCGCCTGCTTCACAAGCATAAGGTCCCAAGTTCAATCCCCAGTACCAAACAAACAAACAAACAAAGTATATAATTAACACTGGATTATTACTCCAATGACCTTGGTGTTTTTTACCTTTGAAAGCAATGGTCTCTAGTAAGTCACCCACTGCTCCTTTTTATTCTCAGATGCCAGAAAGCATAAAGAAGACTGAGCTCTGTGAGACTTGTTAAAGAATTCTATTCTACAGGGTTCTCATTGAAGCTTACAAATACACAATAACAAGAAACTGTACTTGTTAAATATGCTGTTATTGTGGACGTCTTGACGTTCAATGAATACTAACAGAATAGCTTTGTCAAATTAATTACATTTCAAACAATAAACAGATTAAAATATCTAGAAAAGTGTAGGAGCAGGGGGAAAATATTTAGTTTCACCTTTTGAAGACAAGCCTCAAAAGAGCTTACTAGAAAACATGACCTCATGATGATTTGGGAGGTGGCAAAGAGGCTGCCACATTTCTTTTTGTTATCAGGTAAGTGTCCAGATGCTCAAATCAAGCCTTCCACAGACAGGAACAGGCTGTTGTTTCCTCTGTGACACAGAGAGTTGAGATGAAATTCAATTTAATAATTATATTACGGGTACTGAAATGGCACCTGAACTATAATTCTGGCCTACTTATGGAACTATTCCAGGAAATAGACAACCCACAAATATTCTGGTAACCATTCCAAATAATCATTTCTATTATTCTTGAAACTCTGGCATACATACACACAACACTTGATACATGAATATTTTCCCTGCAGAACACCAATTTACCTATACAATTATTTAAAAATTTATGTGTTTTGTTTTGGGTACTGGGGATGGAACTTGGGTCCTTGCACTTATGCAGCAGGTGGCGAAACCACTCAGCTAAATCCCCGGCCCTAAAATTTATGTATTTTCATTTATTTGTTTTTTAAATTTGTTTTTTGGTACCAGGGATTGAACTCCAGACCTTGCGCTTGGGAGGCAGGCACTGGAACCACTGAGCTAAATCCCCAGCCCTATGGTTTTTTTTTTGGTACCAGGGATTGAACTCGGGTCCTTGAGCTTGCGCAGCAGGCAGCGAAACCACTGAGCTAAATCCCTGGCTAAATTTATGTATTTTTAAAAGCACACAGAAATACATTCACACCTAAATATTCATGTCAACTTATCCTAAAGAAATAGTTGGAATATAGGAGTTAAAATTTTATTTTTAGCCTCTTCTTCCCTGTCTATGTGGTCTACAAAAAAGTGCTAGATCTTTCTGGGCTTTACTTTTCTCATTTCTAAAGTGAAAACACTTGCCCTCTACCTTCCTCACAAAAGGCTTGGGGGGCTGACAAGATGTGAAGCACTCTGGAAAAGCTCTTACAAATGTTAGCATACCGTCATTAGTTTTTTGGTTTTTGGTTTTTTTACAAAGTGCAGAGGATAAAGCCCAGGGCCTCACACATGCTAGGCCAAGTACTTGGCCACTGAGCTACACCCTCAGCCCCAGAAGACTGGCATTAATAAAGCCAAAGGGATGGAACAGTAATAATTCTTCGCCAAAAAACTGTTTTAAAGATTTAATTATAATCATTTTTCAATCTGTGATGGAATTTTCAAGAAAATATTATCACCATAGCCAAAGACATTGGTTCACATGAATGATCACTGACTGCGTTAATCTGAGTTAATTAATCTATGAATTAAGACAATCGTTTTGGTTGAGTAATTGGGAAGGGTGGACCTTATGCACTCAAAGTATACAGGAAGTGTAATACTACACTACCATCTAAGTCACTAACACATCTATGATAAATAAACTTGTCAGTTTACTAGTTTTCAAAAGATCAAGTAGAAGAGCTTCATCAATATTCGTACCTCCTCATGGGAGTAGAACAATATAAATCAAGAAAGTACACCTACAACGTAAAAGCCAAACATAGGCCTAAAACCAAAAACAGCAATAAAATTCCATTCTAAATATGTCCAAGGTAATACTCACTGAAAGCAGGAAAGTTTATATTGCCAGAGGAACAGCTACAACAGAGGACGGGAACTACTTTGTCTCTGGAATGAATTTTCTTCCTTCCAATTCCATTCCTTCTTTCTGTACCTAAGATGGAAATGTAAGTTCAGTGAACAAAAAAAATCCAGGTAGAGCACAGGTCAGATGTGGGTTTTTGAAAACTTACAACAGTGCGATTTCTAGAAAAAGAAAAGAGCTAGAGAACAGGCTTTCCTCACTTTGAAACATTTCAAACATAAAGCATGAGGTAACAGCAGCAGTCCCATGCCTGAGTCACCTCATCCTGAGCATCATTATCAGGGAGGACCCTGAGGATCAAAGGTTCTATTGATCTTAAATACGAGACATGCATTAACACCTGCCCACTATCAATTTGGGTCAAAATTGGCTTTCACACTAGGATATACCATTTTCAGGCTTTCCACTGGTTTCAGGATACAAACATACTCCAAATCTTCTACAAAGATAGTTCTTAAGAATTACTGGGCAATATGCCAGTGTGGGGGACCTGAGGACAGGCCACACTGCTTGCTGTGTTAGGAGATGGAAACGTTAAGTGTTGATAAGTCATCTGTCTTCACCCTTAGTCTTGCATAAATCTCCTCCTAATCTCTTCCCTAGCTCTCCACACTCCCCAGTAATGAAGAAACAGCTATTCCAGAGATGTAAACAGGAGACTCCAGACCCCACCCACTGTATCCTAAGAGAGGGCAGTGAAAGGGGATAGGCCCAAAGGGATAAGGGTGAGCGAGCGTGACAGAGTTCAGATCAGGACAGGGAATGGAAGAGGGCAACGTATGAAGGGCAAAGCCCACAGCCCAGGAAGGAGAGGCAGAAAATCCGGAGAGTGTAAAGTGGAGGGTAAATGGGCGCCACGGCTGGGACATGGGAGGGGGGAATCATGGTGGGGCCCGAAGAAAGAGAAAAGAGGGGAAAGCGCGCGTGCGAGGAGTTAAGAAAAGCATGAAACAAGTGAGGAAAGGAGAGGGGCAAAGCCGGCAGAGGATAAAGGTGAATGTTAAAGAGCAAGGCGTGGGGGCAGCAGAGTGGGGGCGCCAGGGCAGTCTGGGGAGGCGGAGCGACGGGTAAAGCGGCCGGGAGAGCGGCGGGGGTGGAATCCGGGCGGGGGCGGTTGAGGGGGCAGCGGGCGGACGGGGTGGGTCGGGGGCCGCCAGGCGGCGCCGGAGACCACCAAACTTTACATGGACGCGAGACCGTCTCCTGTAGGGAAAGCTGAGACCCAGCAGCGGCGGGACCCCCGCCCAAGCGGGGACAGGGCCCAGGCCCCACCAACGCCCGCCGCCCCTCCCCCATGCCGCCCGGGGACCCTCGCCCAGCACCCCGGGGTCCACTCCCCGGCCCTCGCCTTCCCTGGATGAGTAGGCCTGGGGACAGGCGGAGACGCGGCGGCCTAGGGGAAGCCTGGCCCGGCGGCGAGGGAGGAGGGCGCGGCACACCCCGAGTTTCCCACCTTTTCTCCTGGCCCAGATTCGGCCGGGGCGGACAGGACCTCTCGAGCTCTGCCTCCTCCTCCTGCTTCATGGAGCCATGCGCCTGGGTGGGGGCTCCCGAGAAAAGCAGGCCCGCCGGCGGGCCAGACGCACGGCGCAGACCGGGCGGGGCGAAGGGGACCGGCGGGCGGAGGAGGAAGCGACGGCTGTGGCCAGGAAGAACTAGAGGTATTCCCCGGGCGGCTGGAGGACTGAGTCCAGCCGGGACCCGACTCCTCCGGTATCCCAGCAGCCACCTGAGGCAGTGAGGTAATGAAGGAAGAATGTTAGGGAGTCCTCCAATGGACCAGACGCCCTCTAGCGAGCCGAGGAGAACCATAGAGATGAGGGAGGTGCCGGAGCACCGCCCACTGCTGTCACGTGCCCCCGCGCGCTCTATTGGCTGGTGCCGACTGTACGGGGTAGAGTAGGTTACTTTCACATCTGTGCAGTTCGGTCCTAGGCACTTGGGATAAAGAACACTCGGGGAAGACTAACAGGACGCAGACGTCCCTCGCAGGGTGCGGAGCCGGCAGAACAGCGCGCACGACTGTCTGGGCGGCCGGCGCGGTGCACGCCGGGCGCTGTAGTTCGAGCCGGGCGGGCCGCGTTGTCCGAGAGCCGCCCAGGCACTAGTTTGGGTGCCCTAGTCTCGCTGTTCGTACCTGTTAGCGATTCGGCGCTGACTTGCCGGCGGCTTTTCTCCCCTAGCGGCCAAGCGCACGTCACCTCGCCTGACTCGGCCGCCACCTTCGAAAACAGCCTGGAAGAGGCGGCTCAGAGCAGCCTTAAATCAACCTGCCCAGGCCAGGGCCAAGCCCCGCAGAGGGAGTGTGCCAGGCTAGCTGCCAGCTGCTTGCACCTGGGTTAGCAGCCTCCTGTTGCTCCGGAGAAGGGAGGCTTACCCAGTTTTCGGTTGTGGCCCAAGCGGCGCCAACTAGCGTCAAGAGTCCATCGAAACCAGCCCTGAAGCTCCAGCTAGAGATGACCTCAGTCGGATACACATTGTACAGGATTATTCAGTAGGCTGACTAAGCACATTCTTTCGCACTAACAGGGCTGTCACAAAGAACAGCATGCAAAAATGTCCTTTAAAAAATTAGACTAAATAATTGTAATTCCAAATGCTATTTTTTTTTTTTAACTAGCCTTGATCTTATAACAACATTTTTTTGGTTTCTCTGTTGTTTTTGCCAGGATGGAACCCATGTTCTCATGCATGCTAAGCATGTATCCTGCTTCGTTACACTCCCAGTCGCAGCATTTTTATTTTAAATTACAGATGGAAATGCACAAGAAGCCTTATTTCTGCTGTGTGAGGGCAGAACAGCCCAAGCATATGTGTCTAGGCCCTACAGCAAAGGCAAACCTTGTTTTAAACCAGTGTCCTAAGGTAGAAGGACTCAACCACGCACAGCTTTCTGCTTTGCTTTTTTGTTGATGTACAAAGGTATCCTTAACATGTTTGTCCTCAAAGACCAAAGAAAAGTGTCTAGAAAAAAATGCAAATCATATATAACAGTGAAGCTTTCCAGCAAAACCCTTCTGCTCTAGAATGGCTAAGGTATGCAAACATAATATCATCTACTGCTGCAGACTTTTAGCCTAATTACCAGGGTTTCTGGTGCCTGTCAGATCCAGACCTCTCAAAGATAAATGGGCACGCCCGGGATTTAGCTCTGTGGTTCCACCCCTACCTTGCAAGCGCAAGGTCCCGAGTTCCATCCCCAGCACCAAAAAACAAACAAAGAAAACAAAGATAAATGGGCAAAGGATAACAATGGGAAGAAAAAAGGAACACCTATGCTTTGTGGAATGGGAGGTGACTTAAACAAAAATAAGTGTTGCCTATAGCATCTGCATAATCCCAGTCACAGGCTTTATTCACTTATCACTATCTTGAGGCTACATTTGCCAGTTTTTAACCTCTGTCTGCCTGAAAAACTACAAATTAGATGATCGTATGGTTTAGAGCCAGAAGTGCAGGAGGCAGAAAGCCAAAAGACATTTTTTGTTGTTTCTGAATAAGAAAGGCCAAATCCTGAGTTAAAGCAATCAAAATAAATTTCATAGTGAAGGTCTTTCCAGCTGAAAGTTTTAAAACATGGCATCTGGAAAGAGGCCTTAGTCTATTTCTCCCAGGGTGGTACTATATAGTCATTAAACAGCCTGCAGATAAGGGAGTTATAGCTCCCTGGTTATCAAGCTGCCAGGAGGTAAATGATAGAACTAAATTGAACTTGAAGCACTCCCAAATTAAAATTAAACCTTGCTTTGGGCTGTTGAAAGGCATCTTACTGAGAAGTAGAATCCAGATGCTGCCACAGTTTAACTGATACTGAAAGACAAAGGGGCAAGACTTTTTATTTAAAAAGTTACTTTGAGGTCAACTCAAGTCAGCAAGCAATGGTCTGTGATTTATTTACTCATTTTTTTTTTTTGGTACCAGGGATTGAACTTGGGTCCTTGCACTTGTGCAGCAGTCGGTGAAACCACTGAGCTAAATCCCCGGCCCTTATTTACTCGTTTTCTATACATACTATAGAAGCCTCTATACAGTGGGCATACAATTATTATTTGGAGCCCGAATGAATAAATGAAGAAAGAGGCCCACACATAACAAACAGATAATGTAAGTAGGAAAGGAGGCCTGCAGAAAAGCTAGGTGTTGGGGCCGGGGATTTAGCTCAGTGGTTCCAGCGCCTGCCTCGCAAGCAAAATGTCCCGAGTTCAATTCCCGGTACCAAAAAGAAGAAAAGCTAGTACATGTAGCCAAGCCTTCTACATGGTCCTGAAAAGTCACCCCAATCCATCCTGATAAAACTGTACAATCATGGACCGGGGGATATAGCTCAGCAGCACAGCGCCTACCTGGCAAGTACAGGGTCCTGAGTTCGATCCCCAGTACCAAAAAAATCCTGTACTATTCATTATCCAAATACCCCAAAACAAATCATCTGCCTTCCTGATTCACAGCTTTCTGTCATTTCTTACCTTGAATGGTTAAGAATATAAGGTAATGATCAAGAGACTTCATTCTTCAAGGTCGTGAGTTCAATCCCTGGTACCACAGGGAAAAAAAAAGTTCATTCTGGAATCAGACCACCTGGGCTCAAATTGCAGCTCTGATACTGAAAACCTGAGAGCAAATTAGTACATCAGTGACTCAGGCTTATCATCTGTAAATGGGAATTGTAGCAACACCTACGTCATATAGTTGTTAGTAGATTTAAATCTGTACATCTAAAGCTATTATAGGATTAGTGTGTCAAAAATGCTCAGTAACTCTGAGCTTTGTATTAGGGTGTTGGGATTAGCATGAAATTAGCTTGTATACCAGCTGTGTGCATTCTTTTGGGTTCTTTTGGATTTGCCCCGTGTATGAACAATGCGCTGATGGAATAAAGGATTTGCTAACCAGTAGTAATAAAATTTCACAGAGGGTATTAATTGGTGATGTAGATTTTATCTGTCCTGATTTCTGAGTAGGTTTAGTTTGTTTTTGCTTTTGAGACTAGGTCTCACCATGGGGTCCAGATAGGACTTGAATTTTCAATTCTCCTGCCTCAATGTCCTGAGTGATGGAATTACATGCCACCATGCCTGGCTTTTTCCACAAATCTTGTGTATAGCTTGACGGATTCTTGCATTAGTATCCATCCATGTAACCAACATCTGATGTAGTATATTTCCAGGAGCTCAGAAAGCTCCCTTGTGCCTTCTCCCAGTTACTAGTAACCCCTCAAAAGATAATCAGTATTCTGACCTCTGTCATTATAGAATAATTTTGCTTGTTCTTGAATGTCATGGACATTCAGATGAGCTCAATGTGTACTATTTTGTGTCTGGTTTATTTTGTTCAACATTATTCTAACAAATTCATCCCTGTAGTTATGTGCAGCTGTAGTTCATTTTTCTTTGCTACATAGAACACTATGTCATTAATCCACATTGAATGATTTCTATGTAATACATATCAAATGACTATGCCACAATTTGGCCAGTTTATTTCTTTAAAACAACCTTGTTCATTTCCCTGAGATTAGAGATTTAAGGTTTTTAAAAATAACATCTTGGGGCCATCAGTGGTACCACGCCTGCCTCGAAAGTGCAAGGTCCTGAGTTAGATCCTCATTACTGCAAAAAACAAAATCTTGTGGTGTTTTGGAAGTTCAGTGAAGGGAATGAGATGGAAAGGTGGACAGATATGAACCTCTCATACGTATTAAATGTAGGCATTTACCCTGAAATTGCTGTGGGGAAGGATGGCTGTGGCATTGATCAGGAGCCAGTCAAGAAGGCAGCATAGGCCGGGGATTTACCTCAGTGGTTCTGCTGCCTGCCTTGTAGGTGCAAGGTCCCAAGTTAGATCCCTGGTACCAAAAAAATAAATAAATAAATAAAAAAGAAGGCAGCATTTCAGAGATGACAATGCACCTTTCCCTGTAGAGCCTCAGAGCTTTGGCACCTGCTCCTGGCTATGCTGTCATCTTGCCTGCAGAGAAGTTAATCCACCCGACCCTCTGCAGAACATTACACAGGTCTCTTGGATAAACCCAATGAGCTGGAACTAGCAAGTACCTTAGATACATAAGAAAATTACACATGGTGCCAGGAACCACAAAAGCAAAAGAAAAAAAGATCACATGGTTTCTGGGGTAGGGATGTAGCTCAGCAGTAAAGCGTGTGCTTGGCGTGTGTAAGGCCTTCTTGGGCTCAATACTTACCACCTGGTAGGGGGGGGATCACATGTGTTCAGAAAGGTAGGAAATAAATCCTAATCCTGATACCAAACACTGTTAGGGTCCAGGAAAGAAAATCACCCTAGGCACTTCAAATAAAAGGGGTTCAATTATAGGAACTGATTATGCAAGTGTCAGAAATCTAAAAGAATAAAGTAGATGTGGAGGTAACCTCAAAGTGAGCAACTTTAAGGAAAAAACCACCATGGGGCTGGGGCTGAGGGGTGTCTTAGGCTATTGTGTGGAGACCTCAGTAGGGGGACCTGGAACTGCCTGCCCCTCAGGTTCGGTGCCATTGTGGCTGGATTGGTAAGGGTTGCTGTACTTTACTGCCACTGTCCAGTCTTCCCCAGCACCTCCCATTGGCAGAACCTAAAAGGAAGTCTGGGGCAAGGATGTCTGGCAAGTGGAGCTGCAGATTTCTCGGTTCTGTACTGCAGAACCAAACTGAGAGGCAAGGGGTTGGCCTGAGCAAGAATAGGCGTGTCAGGGCATAACCATCACTTCAAGAATTAACCAAGTCAGAGTGTCTCTGCTTCTTCTGCAAATGCACCAGGAGCAGCTCCTGCTAGACTTGGTGGGAATTTAGAAGTTCTGGGACTGGGCAGGGG